CTTATACATAACCACATTTCACAAACAATGATTAAGTACAATGTTTCTTGGATTTTTTTTTTTCTTTTAAGGCAACGTTTTCATCATTTTAAACCATTTGCAACTTTTACTATGGAACATCAGACATGTAAACATCTTTTGCTTTAGAAACAGGAAACTGTCATAATAATCTATTCTTTGGAGAAGAAATATATCATTTTTTATTTTCAAATGAATAAATTAGAAATAAATCACACACAGTGACACATATAAATCGCAATGCCACCAGAAATAATATTATATCAAAATTTCAAATTTTAATTCTAGAAAAATCTTTTCTCAGAAAAAAAAAAAAAAAAAAATTTCACCTAGTACTAAGGTATATGCTTATAGTAATGGTAATATTGGCGGTTTCCCTATAAGAAAAAATTTGGTATTCGATTGACTGAGCAGTCAGTACTGCTTTCAGTTAAAATTTATAAAATTTTTCTCTTAAAACCCTTTTTTAGAAAAACGGGGAGGTCTGAAATCTAGTAGCTTTTATCACACTTCCAGTATCAATGGAGGTTTCCTTCTTAATCATTTATTTGAAGTGGTGTCAAATGTTAACATCGTGATTATGTCATCATTTTCTCTTTGAGTTACATGTGCTATCCATTTTAGTTGTTACTGCTGTTGGTAGTCCTCAAATGATGTTGTTTCTGCTATTTGATACAGTTGTTTGTGGTCGTCTATAGTGAAATTAGCTGAGGTACCTACTACAAAAAATTACCTTGATTCTTTTTAATAGTTAAGCCCACTTGTGATGAGCCATAGATCATCCAACCCAACCCGAAAAAGTTTGCCCATGCCTGCTTTACATAATGCCATCTATGATTTTGATAGTTATCTATAGCGAAGTAATTTGTCTTGCTTTTTTTCTTTTCATATGCCATGTCCTTTCAGGACGTAGGTGATCATGGCTCTCCACCTCCTAGCTCTTGCAGCTCTCAATTTCTCTCTGCCACCTCCCACAGACCACATTCTGTCATCCACTTGCTTAAGCCCACTAGATATATCATACATTGTTTTCTCTTGTCTCTCTTTCTCTCTATTTAACCTGTGAGTATCAGATTCTCCAAACCCTCCTTCCTCATTTAGTGTCCCAGAAACTTCAGCTTCCTCTACATGATATTAAGTATAAGCCTCCTCTTTGTTTGCATCCTCTCTAAGACCTCATCGTTGCTCACAAACTCGGTCCAGAGCTTCTAAAACAAGTAATGTATATAATGTTTATATATGTACATTATATATGTTCCAAAAGTCACCATAGCCAGCGGGGGGCAATAGTGGGGACAAGCTCCCACCGTCTATAAAATGCTTCTATGGTATGCATCTCAGATAGCCTCTGAGAACTAAGTCCAGCTCCAAGCTGGATTACAGGTAAAAGCAGACAACTGGTGCTTAATAAAAAGCCACTTCAGGTAGATGGAGCTTCACAGCTCTGGAAGGCAGTCCATCTAGGGAATGGAAAACCCTGATTTTAAAACTCTGCTAAAAAAAGCTATGGAAGTAAATCCAGACACGAAACTCAGTGAAGCACCAAAGGCAGTTAGCTGTCAACACAGACAACTTTCCAGCAACTCCTGCAGCCAAGCAATCCCCAAATGTATTCCTTCGGATCCCATCAGTATGGCCAAGAGGGCAGCCATATACTCTTAGCAGCTCGTACCTTCCATATGCCATCACCCAGGTCTGCGTCCTGGGGAGGGCACTCCAGTCTCATCACCAAAGAACTGAATTTGACCAAAAAGATGCTTACATATCTTTAGGAATTGCTAAGACAACTTGAACTTTATTTTGGTAAATAAAATTAAATTTAATAACACATTCACTACTACATTGGATATTATAAACCTTACATTATGCTATCAATGTTTTTTTGTTATAAGTTATCATTAGAAATTGCTATGTAAGGCAAGATTTATTTCAATAAATGAAATTTAACTATATAAAAAAAATAATACATCAACCTTGACATTAGTTTTATTTTGTCTCTTCTCTGTACCATTTGATACATTTACACATCATAGTTATTTTGAGGGGCTCCAAAAAATAGCTGTAAAAATCAATTTGAAAAAAAAAAAAAATTCACTGAAAAGATTTTTCTTGATATTTAGCAAATAGGAACATATTCTCTGTTCATTGTCGCAAGGTAGCAGGTGAGATGATCATGTTACTGCTGCTATTTATATTACATGAAATGGTGGAATTTATGCACACCTGTGTTAAAGGTAACAGACTATAAAACACATATACATGTGCATAAAAGGGCAGTAAATGTGTGAAGCTTGTCATACAGAGATTTGCTGAAGTAATGGGTTGGGTAAGCCGATTTAATGACATATCAATCCTTGTGGCTTATTTAATAGTGAATTTGTTTTTTATTATAGTTGAGTGTGCATACACTAGTCAGCTGCATGCACCAATCTACATACAGACACAGGTCACCCATATACTCGATTCACTGGCCGCCCACATACTCAAGATGCTAGTCAGAAACTGGCCGCCCACACGCTCGTGTACCTTGCCAGACATTGGCCGCCCACACGCTCGGGTCCCTTGCCAGACATTGGCCGCCCACACGCTCGGGTCCCTTGCCAGACATTGGCCGCCCACACGCTCGGGTCCCTTGCCAGACATTGGCCGCCCACACGCTCGGGTCCCTTGCCAGACATTGGCCGCCCACACGCTCGGGTCACTAGCCAGACATTGGCCGCCCACACACTTGCGTCACTAGCCAGATATTGGTCGCCCACATATTTGTGTCGCTAGCCATATATTGGTTGCCCACATACTAAAGTCTCTAGCTACAAAACGACTTACCTGAATCTGCAAGCATCTAATTAGTAGGTGACTACTTTTAAGATGGATGTTACCTCTTTGCAAGAGATGCAGTCAGTGTAGTTTAGGCCCCACCACTCAGTTAATGAGTTGACTCCTCACTGAATGCTCTCTCGTTGTGGCAGTGGGCTAGAATATCCTAAACTTCTTTACTTCTAAAGTTCTTGGTCAAACTCACTTCCCAAAAATCTGCTCAGAAGGGCTCCTTGGTCTGGCTGAGAGCTTTTCAGCAAAAAATATCTCATACAGAAGAATGGTGAGTAAGGTAATTTTGGTAACCCTTTCTGGGGTCCTGAACTTGATCCATACAGGGTCCCTCAATATTAAGACCTTGGAGTAAACTAAGTTAATCTTCTGTTTAAAGTCAGAGGTAGAAATCTAAATGACAAGCATGAGAATTTATTTTGGATGATATACAGCAGGCTCACACAATCAAGACAAGTAGAAATTTGTGGTTTCAAAGAAACCTGAAGGATTTTCAGCTCAATTAAGGAACTGTAATATACATGTCAAAACTGAAGCAAAGTATTAAGAAACAGAAAAATTTCATTAGAAACAAAGAAAAGAGTACTGAACTGTTATGTAATATCAGTCCTCCTATATAGCATTGAATGCTGAACAATGAATTGTATTTTGCATATCGTTTTTACATATACAAGAATTCAGTTTCCTATTTGCCCTGCATTTGCAAGAACTATAAACAACTCACAAGGCTAAATGTTTCAAAAAGTTGAAATTTGGCTCCAGAAAGAAATATTCATGCATGGTCAGTTGTATGTTGCATGCTCAAGAGTAAGAAATCCTAAGAATTTATTCTTTGCTGTTAAAAAGGAAAATACTGTTTACCATCAAGTCCTATAGAATTAAATTAAAGAAACTATTAAACCATGGAGTAGGGTTTTTGTCAAAGCATTTTTCCAAATAAATCAGCCTATTCAAATTTCATCGATTGGTTTGTGAAATTGAACAAAATATAGAGTTTTTAAATCTCAACTGTGAGGATTTCAACAAGTGCCAGAAAAAAAACTCCTAGTTGTTTAAAAAACAGCAAAAAAGGATAATTTTTTCTTTCATTCTGAAGACTTCTTTGAAAACAAAGGAATGGAAAAAGGATAAGCTGTTATCTCTATATTTCATATGGAGAAAAATTCTATGTAATCGAATCACTGGCTGAACAGAATGGAAAACCAATATTGCATGTTGTCCACATTTAAAACTTCTCTTTACTGTTAAGCAGTTATCAGTGTTGGATAAAAATCATCAAACTAGTATAAGGATAAACCAGAACAGTGAGGAGATGGTAAACGCAGAAGAATTTGATTATTTTTTATGGCTTATCAATCTTTGACAGGTTATTTAAAGCTACAAAATATTTTTAGATTATAAGAATTGGGCAGGGGGGAGAATAGTGATTTACTGATACAAGTCCTACTACTTAACCCATAGTTGGAGGGAGAAAAGAGGTGGAGTCATACCTTTCCCAAGAGTATTTGCGAGTAAGTGAACCTGACTGAAATTGGAATTTACAAAGGACAGAAAATGTGACAGGGAAATTTGAAAGCACATTGGGATAGTCAAAGATGCCTTCCAAAAGCTAAGCAGAGTATTAAGAAACAGGAATAACTGTTAGAAACAAAGAAAAGAGTACTGAACTATTACATGATATCTATTCTCTTATATGGCAGGGAATTTTGGATAATCTCAAAGATGAAGAGATTTGAAGCAACAGAAATGTGGTTCTGCAGAATGATGCTGAGAATACCATGGACTGAATATGTGAGCAACAACAAAATTTTAGAGAAAATGGGATCAAAAAGAATTTATAATTAATATCAGAAAGAGGCAGTTGAAATTTCTAGGACACATAATGAGGAAAAAGGTTTGGAAAACATGATACTCACAAGACAGATTGAAGGCAAGAGGGATAAAGGAAAATAACACATAACTTACCTAATTAGCTTGAATAAATGGATGGCAAAACAAAGTTTAGGAGAAATAATAAAAAGACAGAATTGATTAAGCTATGAATGACAGGAAACTGTGGAGAGCCATGATTACCTACACCCTGAGGGGACATGCCACATAAAGAAGAATCTCAATTCTTAGCCATTATCCACTGTGCCACCCACACATCCAAGCTTGCAGCACCTGGTATTCCCAAGCAGTCAATCATCTAGGTACTGACTAGGCTCAACATTGCTTAACTTCCGTGATTGTATGAGGCCCAGAATTTCAACTTAGCTTGCTGGTTCCACATTTCGCAAGAAAAACCATTACACTAACTGTAAATCCTAATACTTCATGATGTTCTTAATCATGGCTCTCCACAACTACCTCTCCTTTGTAGCTCTTAGCAGCATTTGTCTTTTTGTTATCTCTCCGAATCCCTGTTCTGTCAACACACAAACTTAAGCAGGTTGTTCTTTGCTTTCCTCTGTCTCTTGTGCCTTCAACATGCCCTCTGAGTATCAAATTTTCCAAACCCTCTTTCCTCATTATGCACCCTAGAAATTTCAACTATCTTTTTCTGATCCCATGCATATGTTTTCTTTTCATTTCCATTTTCTCTACAACTTTGTCATTGCTCACATCCATGGCATACTTCTGTAGAACCATATTTCGGCTGCCTCAGGTCTCTTCATCAGTAAGGAGATTGTCCATCATTCACTACCATAGATGAGGACTAATATTACATAACTCTTTTCTTTGTTTCTATCAAAATCATCCTGCTTCTTAATACTTTGCTTAGCTTATGGAAGGCAGCTTTCACTATTCCTATGCACCTTCGGATTTCAGTGTCATATTTTCCATCCTCTGTTAAAATACTTCCAAGATATTTAAATGTTTGACCTTGTTTTATTTTGGTGCTTCTAATTTATAGTTCATATCTTTTGCTGACAACCATAGTATCTATCTTCTTACAATTGATGCTTAAAGTCCTTTGTTCTCACTTTCTTTCACCATTTTCTTTCTGTTTATTTCACCACATCCGTTTTTATTGCTTTTTAATTAAATTTTGTCATCTTAAAAAAATATTACAATAAAATTTTTTTTAAAAAAGTCAATAACTAATACCAGTATTTTTTCTCTTCACTTATTTTTTTAAATTCTATGTTCATCCAAGACAAAGTCAATCATGACCCTCCACAGATTCCATTACTATATTATCTGGGAATTGCCATTAGTTCTTGGGAAAGATACTGGAGTGGTTTCCTATTGCAGTCACCGCAGTTTTGAATTCAGAATAGTCATTCTCAGACTGGCTACCAGCTAAGGCTGGAGAGTCCCGTCTACTCTGATATTTAAAATATAGCAGAGAGAGAGAAGAGATGGATTTGTGCTTTTTTCAAGGTCATAAGTCTGAAAGTAAATGAACAAGACTGCCTAATCTAATCTGCTGTTTAATCCATAACTGGGATTCCAGTAATTAGAAACATGAAAAACATTTATAAATATGAAGTTAACTCCAGCATATATTCAAAGCAGAAGTATGGTTAAATGGCTACTTAACTAATTTTTATTTCTAGGTTAGACATTGAAGTTACAATTACAGTTAAGATGCAGGCAAAATGGTCAGCTCCATATACCTTGTAGGAGATAAATTATTTTCCACCCTACAACCTCTCTCTTACAGGTGGGATGGTTATTTTCTAAGAGTAACTTAGATGTGGCACAAGGCCTAAACTATGGAACACCTAGTAAGGATCAAACTCACTTTTTAGTCTGTTATGGAGTGATTTCACAGTGGAGGCTTGTATTTGTACTAAGTTGGTCCTAAAATAGGTTCGACATACAAAACGTTAGGAACTTCATATAATAGGTATAAGGCAGAGAAAATCTAGTTGTGGTCGCTTATAGTTTAGTATTCAACTGTTGTCCGACATCAACTGACTGAGCGACTATTACTACTACTACTACTTATTATAGGTGGGAGAGTCTATTAACTATAGAATAGGTGTGTTCCACTATAACACAGTCATAACTGATCTAGCAAGACAAGATTGCTAACCATTACACCATGCTGAGGTGCCTAAAGTGATTTTCCAAGCATAGCTTAGATGTAGCACAAGGCCAAAAGTAGGGGGCACCCAGTGAGAATTGAACTCACTACTCAGTTGTAATTGTTCTAACAAGACAAGCTTGTTAACCATTACACCACTTTGAGGTGCCCTCTCTCACAGGTGGGATGTGGCAAGTCTCTCACTGCTCTGTTGCTACTTTCACGGAAAGTACTTGGGAAAACTATATTCGTTGTTTCCACTAGGCCTAACCTTCATGGCAAGAACCCATTATGCCACATACATAGTAGCAAACCACCCACATTCTCTCAATGTTCCATTGGTGAAAAGTAAGTTCCACTCAAACAGCTTCTTCCAATGAACTGCTGGTCTGTGGAAACGACTCTCAAGAGGATGTTTCTCTGACCATTACAATCTTAACTTGTTCAAGTCTGGGGTTAAACATTACCTTACTCTCTTATTCATACAAACTGCCTCCTAATGCAATCTTCTACCGCAAGTGACCCCTGGGCCTTGTACAGAGTGAAACTTACGGTTTAAAAAAAAAAAAAAACTGCTTACTTAAAAATATGCTATTTTTCAAGCTGATTCTCAATAGTAATGCCCACCTGTGTGAAATTCCCACAGATTGCTTTGGCTTGGACAAAAGATAACATTTCTTTGAAAACCAGTATAACGATTTAAAAAAAAATTTAAAAAAAAAAAAAAAAAGAAAGAAAAAAATGAGATTTTAAAATTAAACAAGAGACCTTGACAATTTTTCACTTATTTTTTTTAATTTTATTTTAAAAAATTAAAAATAAATGGCTTCTTTCAAAAATCTCATGTCAGGGTCACCATTTTGGAGAAGTCCTTTGTTGCAATATAATCTTTTGATAGTCTAGTGTCCAGATCAGGTTTGGGGTCACCATAAATTTTTATAGAAGATTAAAATTATTGAAAAACAAAGGACGATACTTATAGAAATTACTTCTACAAATTTACATATATTTTAAAATGTTTTCATATTCACAAAAATCAAATACCGACAAAAAAAATGTAAATTTATTTGATGATCCAAATGTCAAACAGATTTTTATTTGAATCTGTGTTTGTGTGTTGATAAAGTTCTCATCTTTTGTGAATGTATATTTTTAATATGCAGGATTGCAATTATGTTGGAAATGTATATGTGCATATATTTATAGTAGCAGTAGCAAATATATTAAAGCAATTAGATTTGACTGACAAAGATATAAACTGTGTAGGCAATTTTTTTAACAATGCTGACAAATTGAAAGTAAATAAAATGCAATATTTGTATTGATACTACCCATAGCTGAACAATATCAAAAATACCATAACCCTTTTTGACTCTCTACAGATTCTATTTATTTATTATCTGTGAATTGCCATGAGTTCTCGGGAAAGACAGTGGAGTGGTTTCCTATTGTAGTCTCCACAATTTTAAATTAAGAGGAGTCCTTCTCTTAGACCAGCTGCCTACCAAAGGTAAAACCAGTAAAGTTGTGAAGCATACAAAATTTTTTACCAAAAACTTGTCAACTCTGACAACTATCAAAATGTGTAAAAAAGCAAAATAGACCCAAAAAATTAAGAATTACATCGCATTGGTTTAAAAAATAATATGCAAATTTCTTTACTCGTCAATTTAAGAGAGAAAGAGATTTTCAATTTTTCTAAACTAGATCATGTGCAAGTGTGAGAAAATGTAGCGTCCTTTTACAAGGGCTTTCACTGATCAAAAAAATGAGTTGCTTTTTACACAAAAAAAAAAAAAAAAAAACAGACAACTTCATTTCTGAAGGCCAAATACAAAGGTGTGTCACATATATAAGTGGGTGCCTTTCATTGTATCCTGGCTAACAAGATAGACTTGATAACACTGTTGATATAGTAACCTTGAACTCCCAGCTTAAACATCTTTTTTTAATTGCCCAAGCAAGGCAATAATGCAACTGGGATGGCGAGTGAAAGAGAATAAAAAAAAAAAAGTTTACTGAAAATAAAAGAGCAGGAAGTCAGAAGATGGCGAATGATGTTGCATTTAAATTTTTTGGAGATTGTAGATGCCAGGGAAGCAAGAAATGAGTTCCACAAGTGAGAAGTACGAGAAAAGGAACTATTAGAACTAGCTAGTTCAGCAGAAAAAGGGTGAAACCTAGATGCCAATCTAGTATCATGCTTAAATTCATGCAGTCGAGGCACCAAGAAAGAAAACTCATCAGAACAATTGTTATGATAATATTTGTAGAAAAGACAGAGGGAAGCCATATCACAGTGATAAGAAAGTGACTGAATTTGAGATGCCTGGTCAGAATCAATTACACTACAAACCCATCTTTGTATTTTGTCAAGAATCTCAAGATATATAGTAGGAGCACCAGACCAGATATGCCAGCGATATCTAATGCATGGGCGAATGGTATTTTTATAAATGTGCAAGATGGATTTTGATCTAGCACAACACAGTGAACCAACTTTCCTAGCAGTAGACCTATCAATTCATTCAATATAATCACTCCACTTAATATCAATTGAAAACGTGAGCCCAGGAAGATGCAAAGAGTTACTTTCTTGGAGTTTAGCAGGCAGAAAAGGTTCTCTATGGTGATTAAATGAAAGCAGTTTTTGTAGGCGTTAAAATTTACAAGCGATTCCCTGACCCAGTTAATCACTGATTGGAGGTCCTTTTTGAGAGCAGTTGCCAGTTTTACTTTGTTGAACTTGTCAGACTGAATAATAAGAAAGGAGTAAGTAGTTGTGTCATCAGCATAAATTCCTAGATAAGAAATGAGAACATTGGGAAGAGGGCATTGATGAATATGAGAAAACAATGTAGGTCCAAGTTTGTGAAAACCTCAGATAATGCCAAATAACACTGTATATCACAGAGAGATGACCATCACTCTCATATGCTTACACAGTGAATAGCTCAAACAACTCCATCAATGCATGGTAGATGGACATCAAAACTCGCACAAGGCTCTAAATTTGAGTTTGCAAACAAGTTTATTTGTTATTTACCTTCCCTATCTTTGTTAATATTCTCATTGGTGATATCACAACATTTCGGGTGTTGTGCCCTCAGGTCTTCTTCAGGTATCTTTTGATCTATGCAATATGCATACATATATAGCTGTGTTTTTTTTTGTTAAGGCAGGACTGGGATTAATCATGAAAGCAAGATGAGTCCTGCCTGACCAATAATGTCATAATGG